GAGAGGAGAGGAGACGAGAGGAGAGCTGGGCTGAAGAGGCTTTGAAGATCGGAGGGTGAGCTGGTTGGGGCCTGAAGAGGCTCAGGAGGGAGGCGACACCTGCTGTTCTCAATTACCCATCAGAGCCTTCAGCCATCACAGCCTTTACCCCACTGCGTCAACAACCACACTCACACCTACTACCTAACCAAACATATCCACACACACACACCTGTATTTTGTGTCACACACACACCAATCCTATTAAGTATAAATATGAGGACGAATATGCCCCTGAGCACTCGCACACTAGCACTGCGCACATGCACACAAAGTTTCTAGTAACCCCGTTGTTCCATCTAGGGATAACATTAATAACAAGGAGAGTGACAGAACATCAATAACACGCTGATGTTGGTCATTACTGGTTCTGTCGATCACAGGTAAAACATGGATCAGATGTGTTCGAGTACACATGTGCGCGTGACCGCATGCGCACATCTGGGGCTGCCAAAACCGAGCGAAGGCATTTCACGTGTAATGTAATTACTCCGCAAGAACTGGCGCTCTATTAGATGGCACATCATCTTTGAGCTATATGTGAGAGCAGAAAGGTGCTGGCTCCGCGTCAGAAGCCCCTATCTGGACGCATCACGTGCAATTGATGACTCGCAGATAAGCCGCTCCTTTCAGCTCTGCCAAAGAATGCATCAGGAAGTGGGGCGTTCGCTAAAACTACTTTAAATGTAAATCTGCCACGGCCTCAGGATTGAGATTCATCGTCTGCACTGCTCTGAACCCCTCCAACTCCCCCGCTAGCGCGCCTATGTCGAGACGCCGCAGGTCGTGTTCCTTTTTGACTGCCAATGAGGCCTCAGCACCTGGTCACTGTGATGCCCACAGCTCTTACTACTTGGGTCCTGAGTGGCTTCAGCCCTCAGCAATGAATGCTCAATGATATATGATAATCGAGGGAGTGAGGGGCAGTGTGGTGGGTCAGTCAGCTGGAACAAGTCATGCAGCATCTTTTAAATTATATCACATCATTTCTCTTTCTGCCTTACATATTAATTGCTTGCTTTCGACTCCGGACTGTCAAGGTATTAAGGATAATTAAGAGAGAAAACAGCTACTGACATGATTTAGTCCGAAATGAATCATGAAGTTAAGTTTGCCAAACATGGTATCACATACTGATCTGCAAGGCTGTACAGATGGAGCTCAATGTTTGTTTACCCAATGTGTTCAACTAAATACAACAGTAATGATGAGAGGGTAGCTGGGCCCCTGGAGTTGTAATTCAGGATGGGGAGACAGATCGTGTGCCTCCCCTCTTTCGCTC